AATTATTCTTTGATATTATAAAAGTGATCTCAGGTTTCCAGTCTGGTGACTGCAATTTTGAAAAGGATTCATTAATCACAGCAGAGTAATTATCTTTGGCAGTCATCTTTCTCTGAGTTTTGAAGAGCCAGTCCAAAGGTGAATTTTATTATAGAGTTAAGAGGAATAGAATACTTGTGATGTTCAATAAAGAAAGAAATTTAACTATAAAAAGCAGTATTTGAAAGGCAGTGTATAGTGAAATAAGCATAGTCCTATAATCATGTAAGGACCACAAAAGTTTAATCCGGAATCCTCTACAGAATTGACATTGACCCTTTAACATGAGCAAGTTACAGGGGGATGCACAGTAGATTATATATAGAAAAACGTCAAGATTTCCTAGATTTAAACATACTGTGTGTCAGTCAACACTCCAGGTGCTCCTCGCTTTGAAAATAAACTCATAAACTAAGCCGATAGGAGACATGTAAGTCCAAACCTATCTCTGGATTCAGGCTCAAATACTTTTCTATCTTTTCTTTGGTTTGTGCACACTTATATAGAGAAGGTAAAAGACAGGTCAGGTGTGTGATGGTAACCCATGCCAGGACTCTGTGCCAATAAAGCAGGTTGAATTTGAAAAATTGCATCCAAGAAAGTCTGAAAATAACTAATTAAAAGTGAAGTGTGAAATATACTGAAAGCTGATACTGTGAATTAGGTGGATACTTTCTTGTTCAAATATACTTAACTTAATAACTAATAGCATAAAATATGATGAATGGAAATTAATATCCTATTCTTATAGAGCTTTGAAATATATATGTTAATTTCAGAAAGCCTTATAAGAGTTGTTCTCTAACCCTAGATTGATGCCTCACAAAGCATATTTCTCAACAATGTCATAGCATGATTCTGGTTTGAATCACTTCCTTAGCTCTAGCCTCAAACTCTTTTCTTATCTTGATACTCTGGTCCAAACATCTACTAAATGTTCTAAAGTTCTTCAATTAAGAATGTTTGTCACTGACCTTATCATCTCCATAAAGCAAGTTATCAGACTGCATTTTCTTTAAATTAATGGCACTGTTCTCCATACCATCTTCCCAGCTAAAGATATCATAGTCATTCTTTATTCCTCTTTCTCCCTTAGCTCTCCATACCCATTCTGTTGCCAAGTCATGTCAGCATCTCTGAGATGCCTCTGGGATCATTTTCTCTTTTTCATTCTCAGGGCCATTGTGTCAGGTCCTGCTCTCACCTTCTCTGACCTGGATTATTGCTCTGGCCTTCTAATTGGTGTCTTTGCCCCACTCTCACCCACTGTAATTCTTCCTCTAACTGCCACCAACATAATGGTGGCTTCTTCTCCCTCTTGCTTAAAATACCTAGTTATTTCCCAATGAATTATAGTTTATAGTCACTAAAGCATATACATTATCTTATAATATGGCCCAAAAGTATTTGCCTAGCTCATCTCCTGTACTTCTTACTTCTCTTGTTCCAGCCCAACCTCTCATCCTCCTTGTCTTTGCCCAAGCTTTCCCTCTATTAAAAATTCCCTTTTCCACCTTTATAGATAACTTTAGCCACCAGACACAGTCATTTTTCAAGACTCAGTTCAAATGTCCCTTCCCTGTGACACATTTACTGAAGTTCCCAAAAAAACTATATCCACTCCCCACTGTGAATTTCATTAGTACTTTGAGAAAATATTTGTCATATCATTTAATACAGAGATTGTTCCAAACTGGCTGATTCCTAGAATCATTTGAGGAAGTTTTCACCAATAGAGCTTCATGTTCCTGGATTCCACTATAAATTTCTGAGTTACTATCCTGGGGATGAAGTCCCAGAAGTGCTCCAGTACCTTAAGAGGAATGGATATATTTAGCCATCTCTCTATTGCCAACCTTTCTAGGATGGTGCCTAAAAAGAACATTAATGACTATTGCCAAATAAAAGATAAACTCCATTAATCATTAAGTCTTTCATTCAAATCTAAAACTCACTCTGCTCTAATCTCCAACCCAAATCTGGAGTTAGCTTGGATTAGCATGTACTGAAACTCAAAGTGGGTAAATAGGTGGTGATTGCTTTGGCTCACAGACCTATTTAGTGTCAAAGACACCATGTTACAGAGTAAATTGAGCAAGGGCTTCAGAGATGATTAGAGCTGGATTCATACCTGGCTTTGTGATTTTCTAGTTATCCAATCTTAGACACATTACCTAGTTGGACTGAGCCCCAGTTTCTTCACACATAAAACAGTAATGAGTTTAAATGCCACAAAGAGTGAGAAGAATTAAAGAAGATGGTGAGGGTAAAGCACAGAACAAAGTGGACATGTATTGACTCCTATTATAACAAATCCTTAGTGATGTTCATTAACTTCATGAGTCAACATCTTATAATATTCCATAAATGTGTACTTTCTTCTGATACATAGCATATAAAATCTTCAACTATAGGCATAGGATTTTGCTCACCAACTTGAAATAAAATGCTTATATAACTTTCTCTCAATTATCACTTACTAGAAAATCATTACATGTAGAATAAGAACTATCTCTATCTACAGTTTACAATCCTGTGTTAACTTAGGGAAGGTTAAAGACTTAGGACAAACTTATGGAATATAAAACTTGGGGGCGATTCTTCAGACATCCATCCTTTCTATGTGGACATTGGAACATTTTCTGAGCACCAAAAGGAAAGAAGAGTCCACTTATACCAATAAGTGGTGTAAAGACTTCTCTATCTAGCTGAGTAATGATGCAAGAACATTTGTGTGTGGCAGAATGATGCTACGGAGTTCCTGTCTACTGAGCACTTTCTCTTAGCCTTGATACCTTTGAACAAAGGTGATTCCAGGGCAGGCCCTGTCCTTCAGGATATTCCATTGTAACACATATTTCAGAAGAAGTTCTTAATTGATAATTAATCATCCCACTTTCATTTGGCTTAGAAAACCTATAATTTTGGCAATAACATTTTGAGACGTTTCACATGATATCTTTGTTCACACTTTATATGTGTGCCTGTGTGCAATAAAGCAGGCTCAAAAGTGTCTATCCTGTCACATTTCATCATGTCACACTAATAAAATTTGACATGCTCAGGGATGTGGTGATGAATAACCATATGTGATGACATCTTAGGGAAGGCTTAAAAAATGATGCTCTGTGGTGGTTTCTAAGCCTTATGTGTATTTCCAACTTGTTGAAGTAACCCTGACAAAATAAAATTTTCCAGCCATGAAAAGATCAATTTAGTCCTTTAGCACCAATATCACTAAAATAAATTAACATTTCAGCCTGCCAGTAGCCATCAAATAACGTAGGATTGTAAAATAGAATATACCTAATATATCAAAAACGGTGTACCATATTTTATATGAATGAGCAGGCAAGGGCTGTGAGATACTCATCAGGAAGAACAAAGATATTTTTCAGAGTTATTTTATACTTCAAAGTATATATTCCATTAAAAGAGTGGAATTGAAATGTTCTTAACACAAAAAAATGATAAATATTTGAGGTGATGGATGTGCCTGTTACCCCCATTTGATTATTACACATCATGTGCCTATATCAAAACATCACATGAATGCCATACGTATATACAACTATTGTGCAAATTTAAAATAAAAAATAAAAATAATGTATTTGGGTCATTGTTGGCTTTTTGATTATTCTGTCTCCTGAAGTAGTAATTATTTATATAACTATTAAACTGGCATCTGAAATAAACTTCCTAGTCTTTGCCATCATTCTGTATCATTATCCCCATTTATAGTTAAATAAACTGAGCCCGAGAAAGTGGAATTAACAAGCTAAAAGTCACATAGCTAGTAAGTAGCAGAATGAAACTAAAAATCAGATATTTGGGGCTATGTCCAAAGACTGAAATTTCCAGATCCTGCCACTCTCCTGTCCCCTTAGAGCCGAGCATTTTGCTAGGACACCATATCCTTGTGTCTGTGTCACTCTGACCACCTTTCCTGGAGAGTCTGTCTCATGGTGAGTTTATTCACCAGGAGATGAAGGACTGGTGACTTGTGACTGAGAGCTGAGAGCTGACTCACACAACCACGCAGAACACTTTCGTACCCATGTGAAAGCACACTGGGCAATTCTACTCTGATTAGTAGCACATTATGACTTCTGAAATCAAGCAGCTTCTAAAACCCAGCAGGGTGCTTCTAGAGAAAGTCTTGTTGAAACTCTTCTTTTTTTTTTCCCCGAACAGGAGAGAAAATTTATTTAAAAAAATAACATCTACAGGAAAATAGCCAAAAAGGTGTGCAGTACACCCCCCTCTTCCCTGTGCAGGACAGGATCAGAAAGGTAGTCTGCAAGACCTCCCACTGACCCAGGAAGGCTCTGAACACACTTTAAATTCCTGAATTCTAAAATTCATTGTACAAAATGCCACTTTAAATGTGTCTCGAAACCCCCAGCCCAAAAGTTTTTCAGATCTGAAAGCTCACAGAGCTGTGTTTAAACAGCTTCAACATGGAATGTGCAACCTTGGTCCCCTGCATCGGTGGGGGGGGCTGGTGGGAAGACAGCAGCATTCAGGAAGTGGCACCCCCTCACTCGGGCCACCAACTGCAGAAACCACCCAGGAAGGTCGCGAGATGGAACTGGGAGTCAGAGGGTCCCTGAGTAATGGTGAAAAGGCACATGTCCGTGCCCAAGCCGATCATTTCTGTGATGGCTCATGTAGTGTTCTACTTGCGACATCAGGGCTCATCACATGAACTCATCTGACGATGTTTTTAGACGATAATGGAAAACACTTATTACAGAATTGCTGTTTTCATGTTTAGCAATTAAAAAAAAAAACACTGGCTTTTATAAAGATTCCTTCCAATAGGTCATCAGAATCTATAAAATAGCAGGAATTTCACCTATAAGGAATGCATGTAAATTGTAGCTCAGACTGCCAGTCAGGATCAGCTCCTATGCTGGGTGGCCAATAATACTGTTCCAGCGCATGAAATTAGTATCTCACGATAAATACTTTACTCTGGGTTAAGACTGCACAGTGGCAGACACAGTTGCACACTCAGATGAAGTGGGAGTGTCCTCAGGATGTGCACGGAGCATCAAGCTGACAGCGTCGCAGAGCTTCTCAAGATTCCTCCTCGTCTTTAAGCTCAGAAATTCTGTCTATGGATTTAAGGATCTCAGCAACAAGATTCAACGTGTCGGCTCCAGAAACCGGCTGCTTTATGGAAGCCTGTGCGCTGTTCATGACCAAGCGGAGGTTCTGCAAGGCCACGTCGGTGTTCTGCTTCACCACAGTCAGGCTGGCGCCCTGGCCAGACCGCGGGGCTTCGTTCTCTCGTTTGAAGTTGGAGACCACCACCGGGAGCAAATTTATTTCCTGCTTTAGTTTCATGACGTGATTTTCTGCCTTTACAGCCCGTTTTGTCATGAGCTCCAGGTTCTGCTCCACCTGCTGAACCACCGACTCCAGGTCATGGAAGCCACTCTCCTCCTTGATCATTTTTGCTTCTAGTTTCCGCTCAAGCGTCCTCACCATTTCTGTTTGAGTTTCAGAGAAGCTCTGAACCTCATTCAGCTTTCTTCTTAGCTTAGAATTTCCATCTTTCAGTGCCTCGTAACTTGTCTGCGGCGTCCGCAAGTGCCGATCTCCCAGAGACTCTCCGTGACCCGCGAAGTCTGCGCTGGGCCTCCCTGCTGGAGACGCCGGAGACGCACGAGGGTCAGTGTCACTCAACGTCCAGGAAGGTGGAGACTTGGGCCCCGCCAGCTCAGACGGGGTGGGGAAAAATGAAAGGTACGTGCCAGAGGGCGACGTGCTGGTGGTGACCCTCGCTGAGTGCGTCTGCTCCGTGGCGGGAGGCAGATAGGTCCCAGTCCAGCCATCGTCCTCATCCTCTTCGTCGTCCAGGAGGTCGCCAGCCCCTGTCGGGTCTTCAAAAAACGGCTGCTGATATTCCAGGCCATACCCCACGGGTTGGGAGGTTGGGGAGTTGTGGTCCAGTCCCAGTGAGTGCCTCGAGGCTTCCTTTGAATAAATTCTGTTGGTTGTGTCTTCTTTGGACAGGCCAAGGTTCTTGGTTTTCAGAAATTCTTTAAAGGAGAATGGATTTGCCTCTTCAAGGTCTTCAAGTTTGTCATCTCCAAAACGCGTCTCCTGGGCTCCTGATGGACCTTGCTTAGTACATGTCCCCTTTCCATAGCCGAAATCTGTATCTCCCACGGAAGCTAGCACCGGACTGGGCACATAGCACATAAAAGTCGCCGAATGCCGAAGAAGTGGGAGTGCGGGTCCCTGCCCTGGGGACGCTCACAGTCTAGCTGGGGGAGACAAGACCGGCGCTCATAGAACGCTGGAGCGTCCGGAATGACGAGGCTAAATTTCATGCTAAACTTTGAAACTGAAGCCCACAAAATATTTCCTATATAACATGATCTCAATAGTCTATAATTTTATGTTAAAGATAATTTCTCCATTGGAATAAATTAATGAGCATGAAATGATGACATTAATATGTAATATAAAGTGTTCATGATTTTACTAGTATTTAACTTAGAAGTGGTAAAATAGAACTAAAAATTACTGAAGAAGCAAAAGTTTTATTGCTTTTGCTAAAAAAATGTTGTTTTCTAAATAAGAAACTTTTGGAAAGAATTTCTTGCCTTTTAATGGAGAATTAGTAAAATATCTCAATATTTGAGTAAAAGTTAACATTATAGATTCCTGTTTGAGGAGACATTATCAATACATTCATTTATATTTTTGTGATTTTAGTATCTTTTCTGATGTAGGAAATACAATATGACAATGATTTATAAATGGCTAATTTCTGTACCAATATGATATAGTGAATTTTATCCATATCAAGTATATGTAATATAATTTCTCATAGATAGCATGTTGATAATGATTTATGGACAAAGTGATGGGTAAGAGAAACATATTTAGGATTTGTCACATGAGGCATTATTTTTGAAATGCTAATAATGTCCATTATTCTGGACTCAGTATCTGTTTACTTTAGTCTGTATCGTGTGGACAACATCGCTATTTGGGGAAAAAGAGAAGTTTTATTGAAAGTGAATATAATTTGCTACAACTGGTCACCATTTTGTAAGAAGAAATAGTTATACATCTTTCTAGCTCACTTCCTTCTAGTTCCTTCAAACATTCAATTACCCATTGAGTTCTGAAGATTTATCATGATTTCATATCATGAATATATAGGACTTTAAATACTATGCTTGGCAATTACTATGAAGATACCATCTAACCCTACAATTTTTCAAATGCATTTTAGCTGTGTGACCAAAGTCAAACTTCTAAATAACTTTTGAGCCAAAAATAGACTCCAGGAAAAATACAGTGCAGTTGTTGATTCAATGCACTATAATGTACTCAAATAAAATTTTCCACTAGTTTGGGGAAAAAAAAAAAACTATAATTCTTTTCATTTACTACCACCTTTAATTTTGTTCCTAAAATGAAAGCATAGTTGCCAGCAGAGGCCACTAGTGGCTTGAAAACTTTTACAGCTGAAGCCAGAGACAGGAGGAGCTCAGTACTCTTTTAACTTAAAAGATTCGCTTACTGAAAGTCACATCTAAATTGGAAAATTCTGAGTTTTTCTTTTTCTTTCTACTGTTTTGGAGGGGGCGACATGGTATGGGAAAGGGCTTAATGTACCAATTTGTTGTCTCCAAGACAGAGAAAGAATTAAATAATCAGCCAAATGCAATGACTTATCGTATGTTCTTGTGAAAGGAAGAAAAGATTTAACTACAGTGCTTCCATTTAATTTGGTGTTATCCGTCTTTCCTTTGCTTATCGTTTTATCTCCATCAATTCTAGGCTACCATTTATATGTCTAGTCAAAAAGCAGCCACAACAGAAACAGTGTTGGTCAGTGGTAACAATAAAGATATTTTTAGGAGCCATTTATGGATTCTCAATGATTACCTAGAATTTGGGTAGGCAGAAGAGCAGTGGGTTGACTGCTTCATAAACTTTTACTATGTAGATCTTCAGTTGAAAAGAAAGAAGATATTTTTACACAAAGAAATAACCATTTTTGCATTTCCTTAGTTGAAAATATTTTTTTTTTTTTACAACTAGTCTATTATCTCTCAAATAATGCTTCCACAAAAACATTCATTTCGTGATCAAATGTGTTTTGGTTACACTGCACATTATACTGTAGAGGAGACTCATAAGCATACAAATGACTTTTATAATGATTACAGTAAAGAAACCCAAGCAAAAAATAATGGTTTTTGCCTATTACCATCGTGCGACACCATATTCCCAGGACAGCAATTTGAGATATGTGGAACTGAGTCAATTATAGATGTACATAAGTATTCATATGATCTCACAAGTGCCCTATTTCTTTTTATTTTGGAGAAAGCTATCATGAGAAATTGGAGAAAAAATGAGTTAATAAACTTTGATGAATCAGGTATTTTGTAAAGCAAGCACAAGGTTAGGCAATTCTGTTTCCATTCCCATAGTCTGAGAAGCATCAAGAAAATGTGTGATTTAATCACCAAGTTTAGTTGTACAGTTGACCCTGAACAATGCAGGTGTTAGGAGCACCGAACCCCTGTACAGTTGAAAATGTGGGTATAATTTTGACTTCCCAAAAAGTTAATTAGTAATAGCCTACTGTTGTCAGGAAGTCTTATCAATAACATAAACAGTCAATTAACACACATTTGAATGTTATATGTATTATATACTATATTCTTATAATAACAAGATAGAGAAAAGAAAATGTTATTAAGAAAATAATAAGGAAGAGAAAATATATTTACAGTACTGTACTGTATTTGTTAATACTGTAAGTTTACGTCCTCCATTTGCAAGATGAATCTTCTGTCTGAAATGGCTAGCAATCGCAACTACAGAACTCAGTCAAACAATTCAGCGTTGTCTTGTAATGCCATGACTTTTCTCTGCTTCTTGGGAGCACTTCCAGCGTCACTAGTGGCACTTTGTATGGTCCTGTGGTGTTGCTCAAGGTTTACGGTAATGCACTAAACCTGATGAAAAATTTTCAAGAACTGGAGAGACCACTTTTTACTGTGATATGCAATTTACTGGAGAGACCAACTGCTCACATGGAGATGATTAGTGTCACATGGCATTTTAAGAGGATACTTACAACACTTGGGCTCACCACAATAGGAAGAGGATGTGGCTATAAAATTATTACAGTAATACAGTATGTACTATAGTTAATTTTATGCAGATATGATTTAATATGTGTTTTTACATTTGTTTACATTTCTCTCAACTGTGAATGGTGCCAGTAGAGTCTATTAATGCTTATGTGTGTAAGTTTTGACAAATTTTAACATTTTATAACAGATTAGGGTATATTTTATGGTAGTAAAAAATAGATTAATATTTACATATGTTTTATGGATTCATGACATACCTAACCTTTTCTTATTTTTTTTATATTTCTAGGCTGTGTGCTTCATTTGCTACTTTTGTCCAATCGTTACAAATCTCCAAAAATATTTCCCTATGTTTATTTAAAAAAACACATTAGCAGACCCTCACAGTTCAAAATTATGTTGTTCAAGCCAACTGTATTTTGAACAAATAAACTAATTCCTGAATAAAGAAGTTAGAACATACATAGGGTGTACTTGCTTCAACAATGTTTTTAAAAGATTGTGACTAGTTAGGTTAAGAGTTGCCAGAATTAAAGAATGACTTTTATGAGTAGAATAAAGGAAAAATCCTGCTGTAAAAATACTTTAGAGTTTGAACTCTGCATATCCCAGCTCAGGCAGAACTGCAAATTATGGCATTCATTATTAAACTGAGCAAGAAGCTCAAACAGAAAAATGAGAGATTGTTAAATTAAATAACTTGTCATAAAGCCCCTTATTATTTTAAGTAAGATCATATTTTATTACATCTTAAATACAAGCTAAAGAAACCACAAAATAAGATATCTTCTAGCAATAACAGTAAAGTAAAATAATCATTAAAACATAGATACAAAGATTTAATAATAATATATATTACATATTTAAACAGAAACAGTACCTTGTGCTTAACTCTGAGTACCAATAATCTATATTTAAACTTACTATTCAATGAAATGATTAGGGACACTGTCTTATCCACAGATAAAATAACTATCCCAATACTCTATTTCAGAATGAGCATCTTTTCTCCTATCTCTCCCTCTATAGCTTTTATAGTATTTATATACTGATTACCATAAGCTTTTTCAGTAGTAACTCCTGTTAAGAAAGCATAAACCAATGGTACTAAAATAAGTTGAAGCTAAATGAAATTCCTGTAGTGTTTATTTTAAGATATGTATATAAACTGTTTCACTGCATTATTTTAGCATAACTCAGCTAAAGTGAGGGAGGAAGAGAGTTAGTAAAGGATTCAGCTGTTGTACTAATATAACTTAATTTTTATTTATTTTAGGTGTTTAAGAGAAAATTTTATGTTCCTTGTTCTGTGTCTCAAAAGTCCTAATTGGCAGTTGAAGCCTTTCTAGCTAATGCTATTGGGCTTTGTGGTTAGTCTGTTAGTAAAAACTAAACCATTAAAGCCAGAAATTAAGAGATGATATACACAGAGGTGACGATTTCTACTTAGACTATCCCTGCATCTCTTGTAGTAGAACTGAATACTTTCCGTTGAACATGGAAATACTCATTGGAATGGAGGCACATACTGTCTTTTCTTACATAAAACATATCTTTATTCATCATCCATAATTTCTTGTTTGGGTTCCTCAGAGTAGAATGAGAACTTAATTGATACTTGTGAAGGAATATGAATGTCAAATCATTCTAGACTACTACTACTTCTCCAATATTTGAATGTCATTGTCCTCATATCTAATTCAATATCTATTCATGGGTCTTTCCAAATCAAACTCGTTTTTATAGAAATAGCTCTTTCATTTCAAACATATTTTATCAGCAAATAAAATATTCAATTAAACTATAAAATTAGAAGTGACAAGTATAACTGCCATAAACAGATGGGGGGGGAAGAAATATGAGTTCTTTTAATCATGCAGGTTGGGTGGTGGGAAGCCAACTGTTTAAATGCCCACAGATGTTATGCCAGAATTAGCCTTTACCTCATCTAGGCTTCAGACAGCATGGTTTACAGAGGGGAAAAGAAGCTACCAGCAAGCCTGCAAGTCAGTTCTTTAGAGATCAGTTATAAGAGCTTTTAGCGAAAAATTTCAAAGGCCTCTGGATAAAATAAGAAACCAACTTTAGTGCACTTCAAATATACTTCCACGTTTTGTTTGTACGCTTAAAACCCAGACCAACCACATCTGTGAAATAGTTATTTGGAAGGCATTGCATTTACTGACTTTAAAATAAAGTCACTTTATTTTTTGTATAAG